ATTATTTTTATTAAATATAAAATAATAGTTTTGAGATTTATGATTGAACTTTAACAGGTTGTTGGAATAAATTTATAATAAAATAAATTATAACTTCTATTCTTTTATAAAATAGATTACAAAATATTAGTATACTTTAATAAAACATAATTTAAACTATTTAATACTTAAATCTATTAAAAATCATTAAATTATTCATCCAATCAAAAGATCTCCTTCCATTAAAATGAATTTCTTTCTGTGTAATACATCTAAATAAATATTTATAACCTCTTTAGTTATATTATTAAAGTATGAGTATATTTCAGTCTTACTAATTCTTTTTTTATTCTTGATAAATGAATACACTAATTTAATATCCTCCAATTCAGTAAAATTAGATGGTAAAAGTTTAGGATCAAACTCAGCAATCTCTCCAGAAAACCTAAATGGATTTACAGGTGTAATAGGCTTAATAAGTGATTGACTTTCTTCTGTAATTGAAACAATATTTGATTCATTCTTAGGTTGTGCTGATGAAATTGTAAAAAAATTAAACAAAGGCTTGTTATTTATAATCAATTTATCAGTATTGTTTTCAAGTGATATAAATTTTTCATTAAGTGATTTAAGTGTTTTGTTTATCTGTGAAAACACTGAGTCTATTTCTTCAAGAATATTAATAATTTCTTCATCCTGTTCTATCATTAGGGATAATTAATTATTTAAAAATAATTAAATTAAATTAATAAATATTTCAAATATTCTTTTATATTCAAAAATTTAAATTATATTTATTGTTTCAAGTAAAAAATATAATTTATTTAAAAAACAAATTAAAAATTGAATATTTTTTAAGATAGAAATTTAAATGTTGAGAGATATTAGCATAAATAATTAAATTGTAACTTTGTTATTATTACAATATTGAATAATAGCTTTAACGTATATAAACTAAAAATATTGTAACTGACCCTTCATTATGAATAAAAATCTTGAAAGTAAATGTTATATTAAAAATTTACTTGAAGGTTACTTTGGCACAGGAAAGGTCTCCTTGGGTTGTAATAATTATTTTAAAATAAATGTTCTAGGCTTTAATTAGTTTTGTGAAACCATTTAAGATATTTATAAAGCATATTTTATCACAGTTTAAAATTTTAAATTGAATAAGTGTATTTTTTTTAGGTTAATAGAACCCTAACTCAACATCAATTGGAATAAAATATCTCAAAAAATCTATTATACAATAAATGAATAATATTATCATTTATATAGCCAAGAAACTGGTAAAAAACTAACAATTAGCAGTAAATTATAGCATGCAATAAATTAGACTTTGGAGTGCTTTGTTTTGATCACTTATTAGCATACTTAAAGACAATTCGTAAATATTCCTCAGTATAAATACGTCGTTCATTTTAAAAAATTGATTATTTTAAGGCTTTTGGATCGAATATTTTTTTATGAATGAAAAGGTTTAAAAAGTTACTTGACATTCTTTAGCTCAAAAATAGTTTTATGTCAAATTGAAGAATTTAAAAGCATTGTCAAAGAACTTCTTCATTACAATCCCAACATCCTATATTTATACATAAAAGTACAAAATACAATACTTTATTTCAAAAAAATCCTTTTTTATTCATAAAAGTTTTTACTTTATAAATTAAAAAATATTTATAGGATTTTAAATTTTGAAATTACAAATAATTCAACCCAACCTTTCTTTGTTAATTTTTTAATTTTCTTTGTAGGTTTATTTATTAAAAAATTATTCTTTTACAATTAATTATTTGAATAAATAAATTATTGCGATGCAAAGAGAAATTTTTTTGGAAATTGGGCTACTATTTTGGTAAATAATTTTTTTAATTATTTCTTGTTTTTTTTTACATGGATATTTTTAATTTGTTTAATTTAAATAACATTTATTAATTCGATTATATATTCCATTTCCTGAAACAATTTAAAATATTTTTTATAATCATAAAACAATGAAGATTTGAATATTGATAAAATCATTTGATTAGAGGATGTAAGATCTTAAAATACTTAGCAAATAATAAAAATTATTTAAAACAAGAAGGGATCATAAAAAATGTAGAAGCGTTTAAACATTTTAATACTGAAACATTTGATTAATTTAAAAGTTTATGATTAAAAAGAAAACTATTTTGGTTCAAAAAAATATTTTGATTTATAAACATATTTTTATAATTAATAATCAAAGTAAATAAAAATATTTAAATTAAATCTAACTGACCAATTAAAGCAGAACTGGGATCAATGAATGTATCTGATGTCATAATAATAAACAAATTATAAAAATATTGAAATGATCTTATTTTTAATCATGTTGACATTTACTGCAAGTAATTAGAAATTATTGGTTACAAAAAAACAACAGAAAAAATATAAAAATATAACCTTATTGGGGTGTAATGAAGCAAATGCACCAAAATAAAAATGATGAAGAAACTATCTTTAGTAGCAGTGCAAAAGGTGATTTATACCATGCCTTTAACAATTTTAAGTTACAAAAATCAAATAAACGCAGCCAAGCAATCTCAGGATTTTGTTTAGAGTTTGGTATTGGCACTGATAGAGACATAATAAAAGCATTGCAACATTATGAAAGTTCCAAGGATAATGGATTATCTTTAGTGAGGTTAGCATTCTTACGTAAGTACGGAAGAGCAAATGTAGTAATTGATAGACATGAAGCAAATATTTTAAAGTCTGAATCCTTTAAACGACCAGATGTTTTGGAAATTTTAAAAAAAGGAAGTATTCTAAGAAATTCATACGCGCAATACTCTCTAGGGCTGTGTTATCATGAGGGACTTGGTGTATTTAAAGATTACAACAAAGGAATCAATTTATTTAAGTTAAGTGCACAACAGGAAAACCTCTTTGCTTTAGAAATTTTGGCTTATTGCTACCTTAAGGGATGTGGTGTTCCTAAGAATGAATCAAAGGCATTTGACTTGTATATAAAAGGGGCTGAAAAACAATCTGAGGTGTCTATTTATAATATTGGATACTGCTATGAATTAGGAAAAGGAGTACAGAGAAATGCAGAAATTGCATTTAAATGGTATCAAAAGGCAGCCGAAATGGGTAATCAGTATGGGCTAAACAGTCTAGGATTTTGTTATGAAGAAGGAATAGGAACAATAGTAAATGAGAAGAATGCATTTATAAATTACAAAAAGAGTGCTCAATTAGGATATCCCTGGGCTCAGAGTAATTTGGCTTATTGTTATCAGAAAGGAATAGGAACAAAAATTGATGAAGAACTTTGCTTTTTCTGGTACAAAAAAGCAGCAATTCAAGGATTAAGCAGAGCACAACATAATTTAGGACATTGTTATCACCAAGGCATTGGCACAGAGGTAAATTATAAATTAGCAGTATTTTGGTACTTTAAAGCTGCACAGTTAAAAAATGTGTATGCTTACCATTCATTAGGAAATTGTTTTGCTAATGGAGATGGAATAGAAAAAAATGAAGAGCAGGCCTTTTTTTATTACAGCAAAGCAGCAGAAAAAGGATTTTCTCCTTCTTTTATAAGTTTAAGTTTCTGTTATAGACTTGGAACAGGAACTAAGTGTAATCCACGATATGCCTTTGAAAATATGTTAAAGGCAGCAAAAGAGGACAATGCATATGCGCAAAATTGTGTTGGATACTTTTATGAAGAAGGATATGGTACCCATCAAAATATTAATTTGGCTATTGAATGGTACCTTAAAGCGGCAGCACAAGGAAATGCATGGGCTCTTTGCAATCTTGGAGTTCTCTATTTTAATGGAGAACATGTTCCCATGAACAGAGAAAAGGCTGTTAAATATTTTATTGATGCTGCATCTACAGGCCAACCAAGGGCAATAAACAAATTAGCTCATTGTTATGAAGAAGGGATTGTATTGGATAGAAATTATGAAACGGCCTTTAGATTTTACATACGTGCAAGTGAAAAGGGTCATATTAAATCTCATTATGATGTTGGTAGGATGTTAGAAAAAGGGAAGGGTTGTATCAAAGATATAGATGAATCACTTATTTATTTTTATAGAGGATGGATTTATGGAGACTTAAGGGGGAGAGAAAGAATTAGATTGATTTTATATAAGTATTTAGAGAATGATTATTTGCGTTGTGCTCCATGTGTACAATAAATTCATCAAGAATCACAAATTTTTATATTTTTATATTTTTATATTTTTATATTTTTATATTTTTATATTTTTATATTTTTATATTTTTATATTTTTATATTTTTATATTTTTA